AAAAAAAAAAAAAAAAAAAAAAAAGGGTAAAGTTACCAAAAAAGGAAACAAATTGCCCACTTCATGCAGCTGAAAGAATGTTCCAAGTAAAGCAATGAGTAACTAAAAGGTTAGGACATAAGTATCGCAAGTTTTCGTTTTACCTTTTTTTTTTTGAGACAGTCTTACTATGTCACCCTCAGTAGAGTGCTGTAGCGTCACAGCTCACAGCAACCTCCAACTCTTGGGTTTAAGCATTTCCCTTGCCTCAGCCTCCTGAGTAGCTGGGACTAAAGGCACCTGCTACAATGCATGGCTATTTTTGGTTGCAGTTGTCATTGTTCAGCAGGCCCAAGCCAGGCTTGAACCTGCCAGCCTCTGTGTATGTGGCTGGCACCCTACTCACTAAGCTACGGGCACTGAGCTTCATTTTACCTTTTGATGTTTCATGTAACACCTCAGCATCTCTGTCAGTGCCCCCTAGTGCCAGCTTGTGGGTTAGATGGAAGTCTGGGCCCTGGGGTCAGAAGTCAGGGAAAGCCTCAGAGAAGAAGCAAGCTATGGGCTCGGCGCCTGTGGCTCAAGCGGCTAAGGCGCCAGCCACATACACCTAAGGTGGCGGGTTCAAATCCCCATCCTGGGCCCGCCAAACAACAATGATGGCTGCAACCAAAAGATGGCCAGGCGCAGTGGCAGGCGCCTGTAGTCCCAGCTACTTGGGAGGCTGAGGCAGGAGACTCGCTTGAGCCCAGGAGTTAGAGGTTGCTGTAAGTGTGATGCCATGGCACTCTACCCAGGGGGATAGCTTGAAGCTCCGTCTCAAAAAAAAAAAAAGCAAGCTTTGAATAATTAAGGTAAGTTTTGACAATCTCAATTATTAATCCTGAAGGAAGTGTGTAGCAAGTTATTTTTCTCCCTGGAAAGAAATCTTACCTTATTGGAATCCTTTTGAAATAAAATAATAAAGGAAAGCCAGTATGTGTAACATTTAAATTGCTAAAGAGCACTTAACATAGTTCTACATTATGATAGATACAAAATTTAGGTACTTTGGGGGGGTAAAGTTGAGGAATAGACTTAAAGACAGGGAAAAAAGACATAACAGGATCTTGAGCTCAGTTAAGATTGTACTAACCTTGGTTGGGATTTGGTGAATGCTCAAATACAGGAAGGGAACAATGATCTGACTGTAGAGGTGGTACTACTGCAGGGTGAAATGCAGAAGTCAAAGAGGAGGAGTTCGGGGAAGACTTGGAAAGGTGCTGGAAGAAGAGGAAGAGGTTCAACCATGGGAAAGAATATACAGTAGTTGACCACCTCCTTAACTGACCTAATTTTTATACACTAGAGAGACACTACATGGATATATCAGTACAGTTACGTGTCACTTGATTGTAAACAGTTCAAATGTATTGATAAAAAGGAGACCTGAGGATAAGGTGCCCAGAAGATGAGCTCTTCCTGCTGCCTCTGCGTTCCCCGCTCTGGCTCTGGAGAAAATGTCCATTCTTTTTTTTTTTTTTTTTTGAGA